ATCTTCCCCACTGAGACCCTGTGCTGCTGCATGGTTTCCTATCCCAGAAATAAGTAATGGGTTCAGTTTTGTTGTTGTTGTTGTTGTTTGAGACAAAGTCTTGCTGTCTCCAGGTGCCAGGCTGGAGTGCAGTGGCACAATCTTAGCTCACTGCAACCTCTGCTCCCAGGTTCAAGCAATTCTCCTGCTTCAGCCTCCCGAGTAGCTAGGACTACAGACATGCACCACCACGCCCAGCCAATTTTTGTATTTTAGTAGAGATTGGGTTTCACCATGTTGGCCAGGATGGTCTCGATCTCTTGACCTCGTGGTCCGCCCACCTTGGCCTCCCAAAGTGCTGGGATTATAGGCATGAGCCACCACGCTGGCCCATTTTTTTTTTTTTTTTTTGAAATGGAGTAGTCTTGCGGTGGCACGATCTCAGCTCATGGCAACCTCAGCCTCCCAGGTTCAAGCGATTCTCCTGCCTCAGCCTCCCAAGTAGCTGGGATTACAGGTGCACACCACCATACCCAGCTAGTTTTTGTATTTTTAGTAGAGATAAGGTTTCATCCTGTCGGTGAGACTGGTCTTGAACTCATGGCTTCAGGTAATCCTTCGGCCTCAGCCTCCCAAAATGCTGGGATTATAGGTGTAAGCCACCTCACCTGGCCGAGTTTTCACATTTTTGGACAGTTGAAAACAACCCAAAAAAGAATAACATTTTGAGAAGGGGGTGGGGGTTAAAAAGAATTTTTTTTTTTTTTTTTTTTTTTTTTTTTTTGAGACGGAGTTTTTGCTCTTGTTACCCAGGCTGGAGTGCAATGGCGCGATACCGGCTCACCGCAACCTCCGCCTCCTGGGTTCAGGCAATTCTCCTGCCTCAGCCTCCTGAGTAGCTGGGATTACAGGCACGTGCCACCATGCCCAGCTAATTTTTTTGTATTTTTAGTAGAGACGGGGTTTCACCATGTTGACCAGGTTGGTCTCGATCTCTCGACCTTGTGATCCACCCGCCTCGGCCTCCCAAAGTGCTGGGATTACAGGCTTGAGCCACCGCGCCCGGCCTTTTTTTTTTTTTTTGAGATGGAGTTTCGCTCTTGTTACCCAGCCTGGAGTGCAATGGCGTGATCTCGGCTCACCGCAACCTCCGCCTCCTGGGTTCAGGCAATTCTCCTGCCTCAGCCTCCTGAGTAGCTGGGATTACAGGCACACACCACCATGCCCAGCTAATTTTTTGTATTTTTAGTAGAGACGGGGTTTCACCATGTTGACCAGGATGATCTTGATCTCTCGACCTCGTGATCCACCCGCCTCGGCCTCCCAAAGTGCTGGGATTACAGGCTTGAGCCACCGCGCCCGGCCTAAAAAAGAATATTTTGTGACAAAAGAAAATTATGTCAAATTTAAATTTCAGTGTTCACAGCTAAAGTGTGATGGAACACAGTCCTGCCCATTCATTTGCATTCTGTCCATGGTTGCTTTGCCTGACACTGGCAGAGTTGAGTCAATGTGACTGAGGGCCCATAAAGCCTAAAATATTTATCTGGTCCTTTACATAAACAGTTTACCGATTGTTTTTCTAGATTAAAGAATAAAACAACCTTTCACATGCTTCTAGAAATAGAAAGTTCTTAGGGCCTAGAAATAGAAAGTTCTTAGGGCCGGGCGCGGTGGCTCACGCCTGTAATCCTAGCACTTTGGGAGGCCGAGGCGGGTGTATCAGGAGGTCAAGAGATCAAGACCATCTTGGTCAACAAGGTGAAACCCCGTCTCTACTAAAATACAAAAATTAGCCGGGCGTGGTGGTGCACGCCTGTAGTCCCAGCTACTCAGGAGGCTGAGGCAGGAGAATTGCTTGAACCCAGGAGGCGGAGGTTGCGGTGAGCTGAGATCGTGCCATTGCACTCCAGCCTGGGTAACAACAGCGAAACTCTGTCTCAAAAAAAAAAAAAAAAAAAAAAAATGAAATGGCTTACGAAGAACTCAAAATTACATTGCAAATGTTCTTGCTTCTTCTTAGAGAATATTTTATAAAGCCATGGCCTCCATAAACAAAAATAAAGTCTTCATCCCATCTGTCTGGGTCTCCCCTGCTCACTGTGTTGGTGAGGCCATCAGAATGAAAATGTATCACAACTCACTTTCCCTTTTATTTCTCATTTAATTTTTTAATATTTTAAGATGAGGTCTTGCTATGTTGCCCAGGCTGGTCTCGAACTCCTGGGCTCAAGTGATTGATTCTCCTGCCTCAGACTCCCAAAGTGCTGGGATTACAGGCGTGAGTCACCACATCCACCCCTGCTTTCCTTTATTTGACAGAAAGTTCCAAGTACTGGATGTTAACAAGAAGCCCTAGAATTGCTTTTAATTTTTACTAAGACTGAATCAAAGCTTTCTGTTTTTGTTTTGATAGTGGGAAGAACACACTTGTACTTGTTTTTTCCTTTTTTTTTTTTTTGAGACGGAGTTTCGCTCTTGTTACCCAGGCTGGAGTGCAATGGCGCGATCTCGGCTCACCGCAACCTCCGCCTCCTGGGTTCAAGCAATTCTCCTGCCCCAGCCTCCTGAGTAGCTGGGATTACAGGCACGCACCACCATGCCCAGCTAATTTTTTGTATTTTTAGTAGAGACGGGGTTTCACCATGTTGACCAGGATGGTCTCGATCTCTCGACCTTGTGATCCACCCGCCTCGGCCTCCCAAAGTGCTGGGATTACAGGCTTGAGCCACCGCGCCCGGCCTGTTTTTTCCTTTTTTTTAAATCACTGATAAAACAAGGATACATGGAAACTGCCTTCTGAAAGTTTTGTTCTTGGTTTATGAGAGACAACAAACCCACATAAAAAGTTAGGTAATAAGAGGACAGTAAATAACTGTGTTTTCAACCTTTTGGACAACGATCCACAGTAAAATAAATGTTTTATACTATGACTTAGCAGACACATATATACACATACACTAAAATGAAAATAATGGGGCTGGGTGAGGTGGCTCATACCTGTAATCCCAGCGCTTTGGGAGAACAAGGCAGGCAGATTGCTTGAGCCCGAGTTTGTGACCAGTCTGGGCAACATAGCAAGACTCCATCTCTAAAAAAAATTAAAAAATTAGCTAGTGCAGTAGCATGCTTGTGGTTCTAACAGCTGGGGAGACTGAGGTGGGAGGATCACTTGAGCTCAGGAAATCGAGGCTGCAAGGAGCCATGATCACGTCACTGCATTCCAGCCTGGGCAACAGCAAGAACCTGTTTCAGAAAAAAAAGAAAGGCAGTTTTTTTTTTTTTTTTTTTTTTTTTTTGAGATGGAGCCTCTCTCTGTTGCTCAGGATGGAGTGCAATGGTGTGAGCTCGGCTTACTGCAACCTCTACCTCCTGGGTTCAAGTGATTCTCCTGACTCAGCCTCCCAAGTAGCTGGGACTACAGGCATGTGCCACCACACGTGGCTAATTTTTGTATTTGTAGTAGAGTTGGGATTTCACCATGTTGGCCAGGCTGATTTTGAATTCCTGATCTCAGGTGTTATTATAGGCATAAGCCACTCACTGCACCCTGCCAGAAAAGACAAATGTATTAGAGCAGAAAGTAGATTAGTGGTTTCCTGGAGCTAGGAGTGGGATTAGAGATTAAGGATAAGTAGGCCTAAGAGTTCCTATTGGGGTGAAAAAGCTTCATTATATTAAAAATTTACTAAAAGGCCGGGCGCGGTGGCTCAAGCCTGTAATCCCAGCACTTTGGGAGGCCAAGGCGGGTAGATCACAAGGTCAAGAGATCGAGACCATCCTGGTCAACATTGTGAAACCCCGTCTCTACTAAAAATACAAAAAAAATTAGCTGGGCATGGTGGTGTGTGCCTGTAATCCCAGCTACTCAGGAGGTTGAGGCAGGAGAATTGCCTGAGCCCAGGAGGCGGAGGTTGCGGTGAGCCGAGATCGCGCCATTGCACTCCAGCCTGGGTAACAAGAGCGAAACTCCGTCTCAAAAAAAAAAAAAAAAAAAAAATTTACTAAAAATAATCGAATCACACACACAAAAGCAGTGAATTTTATGGCATGTAAATTACACAGCAATAAAACTGTCTTTTAAAAAAAGAGAGAGGCCGGACGTGGTGGCTCAAGGCTGTAATCCAAGCACTTTGGAGGCCAAGGCGGGCGGATCACCTGAGGTTGGGAATTCAAGACCAGCCTGACCAATGTGGTAAAACTCCGTCTTTAAAAAAAAAAAAAAAAGAGAGAGAGAAAGGGCTGGGCATGGTGGCTCATGCCTGTAATCCCAGCACTTTGGGAGGCCGAGGTGGGTGGATCACTTGGGGTCAGGAGTTTGAGACCAGCCTGGCCAACATGGTGAAACCCCATCTTTAAAAAAAAAAAAAAAAAAAAAAAAAAGAGAGAGAAAAGAAGAAAAGAAGAAGCAACAGAAAAGAGGCCAGGCACTGTGGCTCACATCTGTGATCCCAACACTATGGGAGGCCAAGGCGGATGGATCACCTGAGGTCAAGAGTTTGAGACCAGCCTGGCTAACATGGCAAAACTCTGTCTCTACTAAAAATACAAAAGTTAGCTAGGTGCCATGGTGCAGACTGTAGTCCCAGCTACTTGGGAGGCTGAGACAGGAGAATCACTTGAACAAGGGAGGCAGAGGTTGCAGTGAGCTGAGACCTTGCTATTGTACTCTAGCCTGGGTGACAGAGCAAGACTCTGTCTCAAAAAAAAAAAAAAAAAAAAAAAGAGAGAGAGAGAGGAAGAGGAAGAATAACTACCCAAACCAATCAGTCTGCAGGGCTTGGGATTCAGCTTTTAAAAATTATGTACATTTCGGCTGGGCACGGTGGCTCACACCTGTAATCCCAGCATTTTGGAAGGCTACAGCAAGTGGATCACCTGAGGTCAGGAGTTTGAGACCAGCCTGGCCAACCTGGTGAAACCTCGAATCTACTAAAAATACAAAAATTAACTAGGCCTGGTGACCGGCGCCTGTAATTCCAGCTACTTGGGAGGCTGAGGCAGGAGAATCACTTGAACCCTGGAGGCAGAGGTTGCAGTGAACCAAGATCGTGCCATTGCACTGCAGCCTGGGTGACAGAGTGAGACTTATCTCAAAAAAAAGAAAAAAAAAATTACATACATTTGCCCAACTCCAGTCTTCCAGTTGCTCCCACTCTCCACAATTTCTCAGCGATTACTGACAGCATTTCCTCAGTCACATGTGCCAATTATTTCAGTCCTCTGGAATGTCATTCATCAGGTTTAGAAACTTTTGACAAGGTGAATATGGTAACAAAGTCCAAGCGCAGGCTGTTTTCCCACCCTGAACCTCTTCCCCTCGCATACTCTTCTCTGATTATTTCTCCTTTAGCCCGTGTTTACATTTTGTGATTTCTTTGACAAGAGCTCCTAGGCAACAGAAAGAGCTGGGGTGGCTGTGTGCGCAGTGAACTTCGCCTTAGGAAATTGTGGGCTTCTGGGGTGGCCCTCCCCCAGTTCCCTGCATGACTGTGGTAGATGTTTGTAGCTCAGTCTACCTAGCAACCCCTCCTCTTCCTTCTGCAAACAGCACTAGGTTTCCTGGGGGGTTTCCTTGGCCCTCTTGGTCTTTGTGGTTCTGGGGAGGCAGACTGCCACCCATGCGCTCCAGGGATAAGCAGGTGACTCAGGTCAGCCCAGACACCAACAGAACTCAGCTCTGGCTGTGGTGATTGGCTGAAAGAGGGACATGTGACCGAAGAGAGTCCAATCAGAGTCAGTTCTGAGATGTTTTCTAGAAATGTTTGGAAAGAGGTGTTCTTTTTCTTTTCTTTTGTTTTTTTTTTGAGACAGAGTCTTGCTCTGTCACCAGGCTGGAGTGCAATGGCGCAATCTCGGCTCACTGCAACCTCCGCCTCCTGGGTTCAAGCGATTCTTCTGCCTCAGCTTCCCGAGTAGCTGGGACTACAGGCACGTGCCACCACACCTGGCTAATTTTTGTATTTTTAGTAGAGACAGGGTTTCATAATGGCCAGGATGGTCTTGATCTCTTGACCTCGTGAGCTGCCCATCTCGGCCTCCTAAAGTGCTGGGATTACAGGTGTGAGCCACCACGCTCGGCCTAGAGGTGTTCTTTTTCTACCATGATTGCTTTGTGGTGGGGTGTAAGGTTGACTGCTGTGGGCCTTGGTGGCCTACCATAGGGGAAATGCCTAAGAATGAAGCTTTCACCTTTCCTATAGTTCCTGAAAAAAATAAAAATGTGGCTGGGCGTGGTCGTTCTCGCCTATAGTCCCAGCACTTTGGGAGGCCGGGGTGGGCAGATCACTTGAGGTCAGGAGTTTGAGACCAGCCTGGCCAACTTGGTGAAACCCCAGCTCTAATTTTTTTTTTTTTTTTTTGTAGAGACTAGGTCTCACTATGCTGCCCAGGCTGTTCTCGAACTCCTGGGCTCAAGTGGTCCTCCGTTCTCAGCCTTCCAAAGGGCTGGAATAATAGGCACGAGCCACTGTGCTTGGCCAGATTCCAATTTTTATTCTAGCACATTACCACCTAGAATAAAGGTTAAGTTTCCCAGTTTCTCTTGCAGTCAGGTCTAGGTGAAAAAGTAGTGTCACGGCCGGGCGCGGTGGCTCAAGCCTGTAATCCCAGCACTTTGGGAGGCCGAGGCGGGTGGATCATGAGGTCGAGAGATCGAGACCATCCTGGTCAACATGGTGAAACCCCATCTCTACTAAAAATACAAAAAACTAGCTGGGCGTGGTGGCGCGTGCCTGTAATCCCAGCTACTTAGGAGGCTGAGGCAGGAGAATTGCCTGAGCCCAGGAGGCGGAGGTTGTGGTGAGCCGAGATCGCGCCATTGCACTCCAGCCTGGGTAACAAGAACGAAACTCCGTCTCAAAAAAAAAAAAAAAAAAAAAGTAGTGTCACTTTATAGCTTAGTCATATGTCTAAGTTCTGGCCAGTGAGATATCAGTTGGCATGAGTAGAGGCTTCCAGAAAGGAAAGGGTGCACCCTTCTCTCCCTTCCCGCTTCCTGCTGCCGGGAATGCAGATTTGATGGATGGCATTCCAGCCATGATCTTGAGTCATGTGGATTTTAGAATGGAGTGCTAGATGAAGCGGCCAGACAGAAACAAGGTTTCTGGGGAAAGAGGACCCACCATACTAGCCCTGGAGAACGAATCTGCAGACTTCTTTTACATGAGAAAATAAGTAAACTTTTTTAAAATATATTTTTTTAATAAAAAAAATATGGAATGCTTCATGAATTTGCATGTCACCCTTGCACAGGGGCCATGCTAATCTTTTCTGTATCGTTCCAATTTTAGTATATGTGCTGAAGCGAGCACAGAAGTAAACTTTTATCTCATTGAAGCCACCAGTTTGTCCTGTCTCTTTTACTATATCCAAAGTTGAGTCTGATTGACAGTGCCACGTTCCTCACATTATTTTTTCATTGAGCCAAGCTGACAGGTGAAAAAGTAGTGTCACTTCATAGTTCTAAATTCATTTCTGATCAGAGTTGATCTTATTTTTATAGGTTATGAGCCACTTATGGGGTTTTCAGTCTGTGAACCATCTTTCCTTCCCTCCTTCCTTCCTTCCTTCCTTCCTTCCTTCCTTCCTTCCTTCCTTCCTTCCTTCCTTCTCTCTCTCTTTTCTTTTTTGAGATGGAGTTTTGCTCTTGTCACCCAGGCTGCAGTGCAATGGTGCAATCTCAGCTTACTGCAACTTCCGCCTCCCAGATTCAAGCAATTGTCCGGCCTCAGCCTCGCAAGTAGCAGGGATGACAGGTGCTAGGTGCCACGCTGGCTCATTTTTTTAGACGAAGTCTTGCTCTTGTCTCCCAGGCTGGAGGGCAATGTTGCCATCTCAGCTCACTGTGACCTTTGCCTCCCAGGTTCAAGCAATTCTCCTGCCTTAGCCTCCCGGGTAGCTGGGATTGTAGGTACCCACAGACACCCACAACCATACCTGGCTAATTTTTGAATTTTTAGTAGAAATAGGGGTTTCACCATGTTGGCACTTGGCCTCCCAAAGTTCTGGGATTACAGACGTGAGCCACTGCACCTGGTCTCTTTATTTTCTTTATTTCTCTCTTCCTCCTTCCCTTCCTCCCTTTCTTCCTTCCTTCCTTTTCTCTCCATCTCTCTCTTTCTTTCTTCCTCTTTTTCCAGACAGGCTGCAGTGCAGTGGTGCAGTTATAACTCACTGTAGCCTCCACCTCTCTAGGCTTAAGCAATCCTCCCATTTCAGCCTCCCAAGTAGCTGAGACTGTAGGTGTGTGCAATCATGCCCAGCTAACTTTTTGTAGGAATGGTGTCTTTCCATGTTGCCCAGGCTGGTCTCAAACTCCTGGATTTAAGTAATCTGCTGTATCTGCTGTCCTCAGCCTCCCAAAGTGCTGAGATTACAGGCATGAGCCACCATGCCTGGCCTAGAATGGCTAATTTTTTTTTTTTTTTTTTTTTTTTTTTTTTTTTTTAAAGACGGGATTTCACCATGTTGGTTGGGCTGGTCTTGAACTCCCGACCTCAGGTGATCCGCCCACCTTGGCCTCCCAAAGTGCTGGGATTACAGGCTGGAGCCACCACGCCCAGCCAAAAAATGAAATAAGTTGCCAAGACAAAAAGAGATGTACAGAAACCTTGTCTTAGTCCATTTTCTATTACTATAACAAAATACTAGAGATTAGGTAATTCATAAAGGAGAGAGGTTTATTTAGCTCAAGATTCTGGAGGCTGGGTTGTCTAAAATCTGCAGGATGTGGGATTTAGCTTTTAAAAATTGAGCTTCTGAGACGGGCGTGGTGGCTCACACCTGTAATCCAAGCACTTTGGAGGCCAAGGCGGGCGGATCACCTGAGGTCGGGAGTTCAAGACCAGCTTGACCAACATGGTGAAACCCTGTCTTTTTTTTTTTTTTTTTTTTTTTTTGAGACGGAGTTTCGCTCTTGTTACCCAGGCTGGAGTGCAATGGCGCGATCTCGGCTCACTGCAACCTCCGCCTCCTGGGCTCAGGCAATTCTCCTGCCTCAGCCTCCTAAGTAGCTGGGATTACAGGCACGCGCCACCACGCCCAGCTAGTTTTTTTGTATTTTTAGTAGAGACGGGGTTTCACCATGTTGACCAGGATGGTCTCAATCTTTTGACCTCGTGATCCACCCGCCTCGGCCTCCCAAAGTGCTGGGATTACAGGCTTGAGCCACCGCGCCCGGCCCTGAAACCCTGTCTTTAAAAAAAAAAAAAAAAAAATTGAGCTTCTGGCTGGGCTCAGTAGCTTACACCTATAACCCCAGCACTTCAGGAGGCTGAGATAGGAGGATTACTTAAGGCCAGGAATTTGAGACCAGCATGGACAAGATAGGGAGACCCCTTCTCTACAAAAATAAAAATAAAATGGCTGAGCACAGTGACTCACACCTGTAATCCTAGCACTTTGGGAGGCTGAGGCAGGTGGATCACTTGAGGTCAGGAGTTTGAGACCAGCCTGGCCAACATGGTGAAACTTCACATCTACTAAAAATACAAATAAATTAGCTGGGTGTGGTGGTACATGCCTGTAATCCCAGCTACTGGGGAGGCTGAGGCAGGAGAATCACTTGAACCTGGGAGACAGAGGTTGCAGTGAGCCGAGAACACACCACTGCACTCCAGCCAGGGTGACAGAGTGAGACTCCATCTCAAACATAAATAAACAAAATAAATAAAAATAAAAATTAGGCGGACATGGTGGCTTGTAGTCTCAGCTATTGGGGAGGCTGAGGAGGGAGGATGGCTTGAGCCCAGAAGTTTGAAGCTGCAGTGAGCTATGACTGTGCCACTGCATTCCAGCCTGGGTGACAGAGGAAGACCCTGTCTGTAAAAAACAAACAGGCTGGCTGGGTGTGGTAGCTCATGCCTGTAATCCAAGCACTTTGGAGGCCAAGGTGGGCAGATCACCTGAGGTCGGGAGTTCAAGACCGGCCTGACTAACAAGATGAAAACCCATCTATTAAAAAACAAAACAAAACAAAACAAACAGGCTGAGCATGGTGGCTTATGCCTTTAATCCTAAAACTGTGGGAGGTCAAGGGGCGAGGATTGCTTGAACCCAGCAGTTCAAGACCAGCCTGGGCAACAGAGTGAGACCCCATCACTACCAAAAAATTTAAAAATCAGTTGGACATTGTGGTGCACGCCTGTAGTCCCAGCTGCTTAGGAAGCTGAGGTGGGAGGATTGCTTGAGGCCAGGAGGTCAAGGCTACAATCAGCCTTGCTCATGCTGCTGCATTCCAGCCCAGGCAACAGAGTGAGACCCTGTCTCAAAAACAAACAAATGGGCTGGGCGTGGTGGCTCACACTTGTAATCCCAGCGCTTTGCAAGGCCGAGTCAGGCAGATCACATGAGGTCAGGAGTTTGAGATCATCCTGGCCAACATGGTGAAACAGGATCTCTACTAAAAATACAAAAATTAGCTGGGTGTGGTGGTGCATGCCTGTAATCCCAGCTACTTGGGAGGCTGGGGCAGGAGAATCGCTCGAACCCAGGAGACGGAGGTTGCAGTGAGAGAGATCGAGATGCTGCACTCCAGCCTGGCAACAGAGTGAGACTCCAACTCAAAAACAAACAAACAAACAAATAAACGAATGAACAACATGATAAAGAAGAGGAAGCAGACATGGGCAAAGTGACCAACACAGCAAGCAGTCCTGCTTTATAACAACCTGCTTTGGAGCCAATGAGTCCAATGCCATGGGATCGAGAACTCAAGGAAATGAGAAAGACCTTAATCCATCTTAATGACCTATTCACCCCTTAAAGGCACCGCTTACCAACACTACCTCATTGGGACAAAGTCACGACATAAATTTTGGTGGGGACAAACTGTAGTTAAGCCATAGCAAACCTAAAATGCTTATTATCAAATGAAGCCAACCTGAAAAGACTGCATACTGTATGATTCCAATTACGTGACATTCTGGAAAAGGCAAAACTATGGAGACAGTCAAAATATCAGCAGTTTCCAGGGGTTAGAGAGGAGGAGATGAGCCGGGTGAGGTGGCTGACGCCTGTAATCCCAGCACTTTGAAGGCTGAGGTGGGAAGTTCCCAAGGTTCGAGACCATCCTGGCCAACATGGTGAAACCCCGTCACTAATAAAAATACAAAAATAAGCCCGGCGTTGTGGTGCGTGCCTGTAGTCCCAGCTACTTGGGAGGCTGAGGCAGGAGAATTGCTTGAACCTGGGAGACAGAGTTTTCAGTGAGCTGAGATTGCACCGCTGCACTCCAGCCTGAGCAACAGTGAGACTCTGCCTCAAAAAAAAAAAAAAAAAAAAAAAAAAAAAAGGAAGGAGGAAATGAAGAGGTGATATACAGAGGATTTTTAGGGCAATGAAAGTATTCTGTCTGATACCATAATGTGTTTACCTTTTACTATACATTTGTCAAAACCCACAGAATTGCGTAACACCAAGAGTGAACCCTAATGTAAACTACGGAGTTGATTCATAATGAGGTGTTGTGGGGTTCATCAGCTGTAACAATATGCCACTCTGGTGCAGGATGTTGATAGGAGGCTGTGCGTGTGAAGAGACAGGGTATATGGAAGCTCTCCATATTATTTATGTATTTATTTGAGACAGAGTCTCTCTCTGTTACCCAGGCTGGAGTGCAGTGGCGTGACTGGGCTCATTGCAACCTCTGCCTCCTGGGTTCAAGCTCTTGCCTCCGCCTCCTGAGTAGCAGAGATTACAGGTGTCCCCTACCACAGGTTTTCACTATATTGGCTAGGCTGGTCTTGAACTTCAGGATCCACCTGCCTCGGCTTCCCAAAGTGCTGGGATTGCAGGTGTGAGCCATGGTGCCAGGTCACACCCAGCTAATTTATTTGTATTTTTAGTAGAGATGGGGTTTTACCGTGTTGGCAAGTCTGGTCTCAAACTCCTGACCTCAGGTGATTCACCTACCTCAGCCTCCCAAAATGCTGGGATTACAGGCATGAGCCATGGTGCTTATCTATTTTTCTTTTTGAGATGTAGTTGTACTGTGTCGCCCAGGCTCACTGCAACCTCTGCCTCCGGGGTTCAAGTGATTCTTCTGCCTCAGCCTCCCGAGTAGCTGGAACTACATGTTCGTACCACCGTGCCTGGCTAATTTTTTTGTATTTTTAGTAGAGACGGGGTTTCACCATGTTAGCCAGGCTGGACTCGATCTCCTGACCTAGTGATTCGCCCACCTCGGCCTCCCAAAGTCCTGGGATTACAGGTGTGAGCCACTGTGCCCGGCCGGCGAATAGTGTATTTTTTAAACAGAGAGAGGGATTGACCCTCACTGAGTCAACTTAGGTCATGTGTGTCTCTCTGATCTAATGAATGTGGCCAGAGAAATTGAGCACATTGGTTAGCCAGGCTCAGGTGCCCGCTTATCTCTGGAGCCAGGTGTGGAATCAGCCCTCCAAAACACATGGAGACCAGGTATGGTGGCTCATGCCGGTAATCTTTTTTTTTTTTTTTTGAGACGGAGTTTCGCTCTTGTTACCCAGGCTGGAGTGCAATGGCGCGATCTCGGCTCACCGCAACCTCTGCCTCCTGGGTTCAGGCAATTCTCCTGCCTCAGCCTCCTGAGTAGCTGGGATTACAGGCACGCGCCACCATGCCCAGCTAATTTTTGTATTTTTAGTAGAGACCGGGTTTCACCATGTTGACCAGGATGGTCTCGATCTGTCGACCTCATGATCCACCCGCCTCGGCCTCCCAAAGTGCTGAGATTACAGGCTTGAGCCACCGCGCCCGCATGCCGGTAATCTTAGCTCTTTGGGAGGCCGAGGCAAGAAGACTGCTTGAGCCCAGGAGTTCAAGACCAGCTTGGGCAACATAGTAAGACCCTGTTTCTACAAAGAAAAAAAAATTGAATTATTAACCAGGTGTCGTGGCATGTAGTCCCAGCTACTCAGGAAGCTGAGGTGGGAGGATTGCTTGAACCAGGTAATTCAAGGCTGCAGTGAACTATGATTGTACCACTGCACTCTAGCCTGGGTGAAAGAGCTAGACCCTGTCTTCAAAACAAAACACATGGATTAGGGATGGGGAGGGATAGAATCCTAGAAAGAAATTAAGGAGCTGTTTCCACAGAAGAGGGGAAGAGATACTAGGAGATTAAATCAACAGATAATGAATCTCCTGGGTAAAGAGGAGAATGAAATCCTTGTGATCAGACAGCACGGAGTCCAGAGGCCTTGTTGATAAAGGAGATGGAGTTTGTGTAAATACTGTGTGATCCATTCTCATTGAGATGTCTAATTAGCTCCCATTCATGTCAAGAACTTTATTAATTTATCGACCACCTAATATGTCCCAGACCTTGTGCTTGGAGCTGAAGAGACTTTTGTGAATAATAATTCAGCCAAGAAGTCCGTGAATTTTCAAAGGCTTCATGTTTATTCTGTGCACATTTAGAAGACCTTGCAAATTTCACCACTGCAAAATTAAATTTCACATGGCCTAATTAGAATATCCTTACTCCCTCTAAATCCTTGCAATTTCAGAGAATCGGAGGGTTCAGAGAAAAGCAGGACAGTCACGTGATTCGCCACAACCCCCGGGCTGCTGGAACACTTGGTTAACTTTTGACCTTGGCCAACTCCAGTGACCACTTGAAGGGAAGAAAGTGCCATCCCAGCATTGCTCATGGTTACTCTTGGGTGGTTAGACCCCTAGCTGTGTGCGTCAATCCAGAGATGCCGTTACTGTTTAAAAGAGTGGGACATGAACTACAATTGCTTTTACATAGGCTTTTAAAACCAACAAAGTCAACTTTTTAATATTGCTTATGAAATGAAATACGAACCCTTTTTTATTTTAAATTTTAGTGTCTGGACACTTTTGAAGTGGTTTTTGCTAGCTTTTTTCATGAAATTCTTCCACTGCTCCATTAGTGTTTGTGAGAAAGAAAGTATTATAACACATTACTTTCTGCCCTGCCTCCCCGCTGTGGTTCCTGTGTATATATATACATATACATATATACACACATGTATATGAATATATATACACACATGTATATGTATATACACACACATATATGTATATATACACACATGTATATGTATATATATACACACATGTATATGTATATATACACACATATATATGTATATATATATAGACACATATATATGTATATATATACAGGATCTCAGTGCTGCAATCTCGGCTCACTGCAACCTCCGCTTCCTGGGCTCAAGTGATTTTCCTGCCTCAGCCTCCTGAGTAGCTGGGATGACAGGCACGTGCCATTATGCCTGGCTAACTTTTTGTATTTTTAGTAGAGACAGGGTTTCGCCATGTTGGCCAGGCTGGTCTCGAACTCCTGGCTTCAAGTGCTCTGCTTGCCTCGGCCTCCCAAAGTGCTGGGATTACAGGCATGAGCCAATGTGCCCAGCCTCCTGTTTCTATATTAAAGAGACATTTACCTAACTAGATAAAGACATGCCATGCCATTAACTTTTTTTTTTTTTTTTTTTTTTTTAGTGACAGGGTCTCACTCT